CAGAGCTAGTAAATCGCTCAATGTTAAGTTTAAAAGAGAAAATATAAAGAAATTTGAAATAATTTCAACTTTGGCTCTTTCCACAAGATTTTCTTACTTGCCATGTTGCTTAGGATCAGTTGAGAAGTTTTGCTACATTTTGGCAATTTTGTTCAAGGTATAAACAGTTCAGTGAAATACAGAGTTGGTTTGAAACTTCGTGTATGGAATACAAGAAATATGGTAATTTTAGAATGACAAGCAAAAACTCCTACAGTTCAGCTCTTGAGTTCAGCTAAAAGCCGCAAGGACGCAGATTGGATGGACCAATAAATTTCGGCGAGAAAATATCAGTCATAAAAACCACTTAAAACAGCGTCGCTCGTGTTAACAACACAGACCAGATTTGGTGATAAATATTTTTGCAAGATTTTTTCTAGTTTAGATGGTTAATTTTTTTTTTAGAAGAGAAAACACTCAAATTTTCGACATAATGATCTTAACCAACCCTGTATTTCATGCCTTGTTGGTACTATGATATAAAACTGGCTAGAAAAAAGAAAACTGTTTTCGCAAACAGAATCTCGTACTAGACTTGACTAAAAGAATGAAAAATCTTTCAAAATTGGATTACATCTTTACGACTGAGCAAATAGATGTACGAGATTTTGTTTGTTTACCATTTAGCGGGAAATTTTACATCAAAACTACTTAAATTTTTTTGCGAAAATGTTGCTAGGGGGAAACTCCGTGCAAATTGTCCCAAATGTTCCCGCCAAAAGTCTTAGTATGTAAACAAAAAAAAAATATTCTAGGCACCTTTTCATTTAAAAAAAATGGAAAATTACTTTCTTAATTAAATGTAATTTGAATCGCATTTTCAACACAGGAGAATTTGTGAAAATAAAACAGTGTGCTTTACTGAGTATACAGTGCAATACAATACCAAACATAAAGTAGTCACTTTATTTCATTTATAATAGCAATAATACAGCAATAGAATACATTATGTACTTATTGAAAATAGTATTTCGGATAGTCGGAGTGTTTTCCATTGTTCTACCGTTTCTATTTTTCATGTCAAAATTTGTTTAACATGCATCAATTTTCAAAAATTGACAAGGAGGAAAGAGAAATTCTGTGTCTCCTTACAACATCATTGTCAAGGTTCTGCTTTTGCTGTGGCTTTACTTATTCAATTTTTTATTTCACTTGATGGAAATTGGTTCAACCCAAAGACTGTTTTAATTGATAGACATAGTTTTGAAGTTTCAAAAGAGCTCAAATTTTGTACTTTTTTTCTGCGGAGTTCTGGGTGTTTTTCCCTTCAATTAGCCCATATTGTTTTCTAGAGAAAAAATATATTAGAATGTTAGTTTAAGCTCGGTGAAAGCTTGTTCGACTCAAAGCAGATCGTTAATGATCAACTTATTCATTCGTAAACGAATTTTGCTAGCCCTTAAAATTGCGTGTCATGTACCAGCCATATTGCCGAAAAAAAAAGGCCGAGTATGAGTATAATATTTTTTTTCAAAAGAGTAGACAAGAAATCTCTATTTGCAACCGTGAAATTGTTGAAAAATTTGCACCAATTGCTATTGAACCAGTTTTTTAGAGGCAAACACTTGCGTTTACTGTGCACCTTCGTACTCTGGCTTAACCCTTTAACTCCCAAGATCTCATTTGTAATTCTCCTTACTATCTCCCATACAGTTCTTGTGATGTTAGTTTGGAGAATTTGGTAGTGGATCGCCTAATAATTCCCGAATTAATATTTTTCTTTGTTCTCATCACTTGTCCGCTTGATATTGTATTGATATTGTAAGGAGAAATTCTGTCTTGATCACTCATGGGAGTTGAAGGGTTAAAAGTAATTTGTAATTCTACCTTCACAGAATGCAGGTTTTCTTTTTGTCCAAAGCTCCGTCCATTACTTGTCCATTTTTCAGAGTAATCTTTAAATCTTAAAAGTCTCTTCTCTTGTCCACTTGCCAGGCATAAATTAAACTTTTGACTAGTAATCGAAGGACATTTGCACAGAATACTGAAAGAAGAGGAAATAAAACAAATAGTTTAGACCAGAAAGGTCCTCAAATAATGTTATGCCCAGTTCCTGATGAGATCGCTGAGAACACAGTTGAGCCTAATCTGATAAAATTTAGCGCACAGTGTATGAATGAGAAGCAATGAGGAGCAGTACACAATGGCCTTAAATAATACATGCAATAAAAGATGTTTCCTGAAAACTTATACTCTCGGACTGTTATCAACATATTACTCCCCGAATACCATGTGGTAAGAGAAGCGTCTAGACTTCGATTTTGTACATTAAACAAATTATTGTTGATCCGCACGAGAAAAAACATCGCGCAAATTCAACGCCGCCAAAATTTAACAAATCCTTTAAAATCCCAAGAGGCCGAGAGGGCAGTTAGGAGTAGGCTTTGTTCTGGCTTGTTGCTGTTGGATAGCAAGGCGTTCAACTTTCAAGATTTATTAGATTTAATAGAAATCACTGCGATAAGTGTTTATTCGAATTCAACAACTGATAAAATTTGAACATGTTCATCACTTGTCCGTTTTCTGTACATTCTTCTGTTGCTCAAAAGGGAAATCGTTAAAACTTGTTTTCAGTAAAAATTTCAATTACCTCTCACGTTTCCAACCACAGAATAAAAATCAACGCTTCGTTGTTTAGTCTTATCATCATTCATGGCGGTTTAGTGGAACAGATCCCAGTAAGGGGGTCTTACAAATCTGTGACATTTAGAAGAATTCTGACATTTTTAAAATTGATATCAAACCCCCAGACTTCCTGTTCCCTTGGATAACTCAATGCCATCCAATGAGTAC